AAAAAAAAAGCATCCAGGATCCAACACATTTCCCATTTCCAAGCACCTAACTTTCTCCTGGGTGACTGTAGTCACATCCCTGCTTCTCCTTTGCTTCCCAAAGTCTCTCCTCGACTCAGTCAGAGAAAAAAAGTAAAACGAAACCAGTTGCCATCGAGTCCACTCTGATTCACGCCGACTCCAGGTGTGTCAGCACAAAACTGGGCCTCACAGGGTTTTCAATGCTGAATTTTGGAAAGTAGGCACCTCTGGGTGAACTTGAACCTCTAACCTTTCAGTGAGCAGCCAAGCACTCTGAGTGCTTGCATCACCAGGGACTCGAGTCAGAGAGAGGGATCCTTTTAAAACTGAAGGTGGATCACGTCCCTCCTTGGCTCCTGAATCAGGATAAACATCAAAGTCCTCATAAGGGCCCACAGGGCCCTGGAGCTCTGTGCCCTTCCTCTCTGAGCTCACTTCTTGTCCTTTGCTCCAGCCCACAGGCCTCCTTGCTCTTCTTGGCTGTGCTGTGCTCACTCCCACCACAGCTTTGGATCAATGTTCCTGCTGCCTGGAAACTTTCCTCCCCAAGAATTCCCATGGCTCACTCCTTCACCTCCTTCAAGGCTTTGTGCAAATGTCACCTTTCAAACTTACCCTGACAACACCCTTTAAACGTGGGTCCACAGCTCCACTCTCCTGTCTCCAGTTAGGCATTCCTGTGCCTCCTTACCTTGCTCTGCTTCTGTCTCTCTTCCCCATAGTGCTTATCATGTCTAACACATATAATAATTTACTTATTTCTTGCATGTAGTGTTTACTCTCCATTCCTGCTAGAAAGTGAGTTTGTCAAGTGCGAGGAGTGGTTCACAACGTATCCTGGGCACCTAGACCAGTGCCTGGCACACAGTAGGTGCTCAATGACTATGGCTACCCAGAGTGGGATGGGGACCGAGCCCTGCTCAGCAGGCCCTGTGCTCACCTGTATTGCTCCAATGTTCTCCATCAGCTGGTCTGCGTTGGAAGCTCCCAGGAGCACAGAGCTGACTCCTTCATTCCTCAGGCACCAGGCTGGGGGCAGCAAGGTTGCAGGTGAGGGGGACACATCCACTGCACGGGTTCTTTTTGGTTCTGCCCCTCAAACTCCCTGCTAGAGAAACCTAGCCTCTTTGTCTAGGGGACATGGGTCCCCAGAGGGGAGGCCTGGCAAACCCAATGCTCAGTGCCCACTTTCTCAGCAGTGCTGGGTGGGGGCTTTTCTTAAAATGAGGCTGGAGGGCAAGCTGGGCTTTTGGTATTGGAGGAGCCCTGGCATTGAGTACCTCACAATGGAGAGGTGGCTCAAGTGCTTAAGGACCCTGTCCTCTCCCCATGAGTGTGGGAGCCCCATTACCCATTGTTGGCTAATGTAAGGATAGCTTGTATACTTGGGGACCATCCCCCAGCTCCCTAGGAATACTGGCCCTGACCTTATACCTAGGACCTATATCTATGGCCAGCAGGGGGAAACTGCTCAGGACCCCAGACGTTACCTATGGCCAGCTGGGGGAGGGTGCAGCCTAGACGCTCAGCAATGGCTTGCAGCTCCTTTAGCTTGGCCTGTTGGCGCCGGCCCTCCTCACTCAGAATCTTGTCCTTCAGCCACTGGTAGCCCTGGGTATGGGGGAGCCCACAGGTGAGGGAAAGTCACCTGGACCTCTGAATGCACTTCTATCCAGATCTTTCTCCCCAAACAGCAGCTCTCATCCCCACTGGAAATCAGGGCAGGATCCCCCCCCCCCCCCAGGCCTAATCATGTCTGTGAGCCAGACTTGGGCGGCAGAAAGACTGAAGGACCATTGAACTCTGAGGTCCACAGTTGGCTGAGACTGGGGTTGGATCTCAGCTGTAACAAGGCAGCAGAAGAGGTGGTGGGGGCATAGACTTCCCTTTTCCCCTGAAGCTGGAGTCTGGGGGAGGTGTGCTGTCTCCTTTGGCTAGGGGATAGGCCTGGGCTGGGGAATCCAAGAACCTTCCCCAGGATCCAATGCCTCCCAGGGGGTTCTCTGACTTTGCTGTAGGTTGGGGAGGCAGGGATGAGCAAGTCAGTCCATCCTGTCCTTGAACCTGCAGACAGGGCTCCAGTGCTGGGTCTGAAGTGGCCTGAGCATGCCTTTCTCTTCCTGCCCCTCATCCCTCAAACTCTGCTTCCGATTCCCCATTCCAGAAGTGTATATGTATGGGGCTCTGCAGCCCCCAGCACTGAATTAAACTCTAGAGCTCTTGGTGATGGTATAGAGAGTAGGGGTGCATGAAGGAGGGGGAGTCCCCAATGGCACATGTGGACCCAGCACAGGTTGTGAATGTTGACCCATAGATGGGGACAAAGGCAGGTGGGGGGAAGGGACCTCCTCATCTGGGGCTCAGCCCAGAAGGGCTCCATGTTCCCATCACATGGGATCTGATTCATTTCTGTGGCCCAGGGAAACCTGCTCAACACCCAGGCACCTGCCCAAAGCCCTCACCTCTCCAAAGTCCTGGCCCTGCTAGTCCCCGCCCCACCCCTGGTGCCCGCCCCACCCTGAACCGGCTCCCTCACCTTCAAGGAGGCTCTTGAGTAGGGTGGGATGCCACTGTCATACTTTCCAGAAACGATGCCACAGGCTAGAGGGGACCAGGTCATGGCGCCTACTCCTAGGAGAGAAACCAGGCAAGATCAGGCCTAGGCCTTCTTCCTGACCTAGCAGCGAGGGTCTTGGGGATGGCCTGGGCTTGGGGGTGGGGTGTCTCTGCTGTGGGGGTGGGGATTCCAGGAGCATACCTATCTTGTGGAACAGCTCTGGCAGCTGCACTTCCACCTTCTCGCGCTGGAACATGTGGTACTCGGCCTGCTCACAGATGGGTGGGATCAGGTTGAACTGCCGGGCTACTGAGTAGGCCTCCTGTGGGGGCAAAAAAACCCACATGATCACCCCCCTGGCCAGCCAGCTGGTCAGTGGCCCAGGACTTGCCTGGGGGCATGGCAGGGGGGATGGGGGATGGCAAGGGGCAGCAGAAGGCACGAAGGCATTTCCAGGAAATGGCTGGCCTGGCTGCCCTTGCCCCTTGCCCAGGCCTCAACTGCCACTGCTTCCCAAAGGGCCCTTAAGCCATGGTGAGCTGAGAAAAGGGGGAGGGTCACGGGACTCTGAGGCTGGAAGGGATTAGGGGAAAGTATAGGGCCATCGTGAGACCTGGGTTCTAGTACTTACTTGCTCTGTGCCCTTGAGCAAGGAGCTTAGCCCTCTGTGCCTCAGTTTCCTGATCTGTTATGCAGGTCGAATGAGCCAGCAGTGTTCACAGCCCTCACAACAAACAGGGCCTGGCTCATGGTGGCTTCTTGGAACCTGCTGCCTCTGCTGTTACTGCTTTTTCTCTGACTATTCCCCTAGGGTCCAGCTGGCAGTGGCAGAAGACACAAGGTCGGGAGGGAGAGGGCCAGCATCAGCCCATTTCTGGGACTTGTAGCCCAAGGGTCCTGGGGAATCCCTGCCTGCTATCCTGAAATACCCTGTTTGCTCTAGTTTGAGACTTAGTGCTCCCACCTGTAAAATGAGGATAAGGATCTTGACACTTGGTGAGCTCAGGTGTGTGACTGCACAGCTCACTGGTTAATTACAAAGGCCAGAAGCTGAGGAATCCCAGGGCTTTTATAGTTACGTTTAACTTGAAATGAAAAGCCTGCTTAATTTCTTTGGCAAAGCAGAAAGCTGGGATTCACTAGAGGAGAACCTCCTCCTCCCAGGGACAACTTCCTGCTGGGAGTCATGCTCTCCCAGGACTGGTGGCAACCTCCACCTTTTAAGACCTCTCCCCGCCACACCTCCCCTCCCGCAGATACCTGCCCTTGAGAAGAAAAAGGGCACCCTGCTGATCTTTCCAGCAAACCCCAGAAATTGCAAGAAATGCCTGCCATGCTTGGCCTCTGCTGCCTTCTGACTCTTAGTGGGATGCTGTCCTGGAAACTGAGTGAAGTGGAAACATCAGGGATTATGGGATGGAAGCCCAGAGTTCTAACAGTAAGTCATGCTTCAAGTTGGCACAGGCTCTGAGATGCACAGCTGGGGTTCCCTTCTCGGCCCTGCTGTGACCTTGGGCATGTTACTTAACCTCTCTGTGCCTCAATTTCTATGTCTGAAAAATGGGACAACTGCCACACTCACCTCACTAGGATTAACTGGGAGTCAGTCCACACGAAGTCCTTACCTCTCAGTAGCACCTAGAGCACCCAGAGCCAAACAGGGGCTAACACTGGCATCATCACTGAGTGACTGCTGTGCTAAGAACTTCTGCCAGGAGCTAAGAACCTGTTCTCTCAGTTAATTCTCAAAGCAACCCCAAGGGGTGTGTGTGTGTTGGGGGTGGGGGTGGGTAGGTGTTCCTATCAGTCTTATTCTGCAGGTGGGGAAACTGAGGCACTCGTCCAGGGCCACACAATGCAGGGATCCAAGTCCCTGAAGCCATAACCACCCCAATGCCATCCCTCTTCCTGATACCAGTTATGAGGCAGCTGTGAGCAAGAGCATGGCAGCTGCCAGTTGTGACATGAGGCCAGAAGCCCATGTCCTGGAACCACCCCCTTGTCCTGAGTGGTCACTGTACCATGATTTCCATGGAGCTCCAGCGCGATGTGCCCCAGTACATGGCCATCCCCTGGTTGATGACGTGAGTCATGGCACGCACGGTCTCTGTCATAAGAAAAGGGGAAACTGAAGGTGGGAGGGGGCCAGGTACTTGGGCCCCAACCTGGGGACAGTCTGCATACTATAGGCAGGTACTGGGAAGGGAGAAGTTGCAATTACATCTTGCAAGCAGTGTACGTCCTGGATCCCAAGTTGGCTATGTCTGTGTGCATGTGTGTGTGTGCATGCACGTGTGTGTGTGTGTGTGCACACATAGGGAGCAAGGGCTCTCTAGGATGGAAGAGGAGCCAACAGCAAACCAAGAAGCTAGTCTTGAGAACAATTTTCCCAAATCGTTTCAGGATGCATGGCATCTTGGAAAAATGGGTTATGGATGGATGGACAATGACATTTCTAGGGCAGACTAGAGAAGCAAAGGGAAGGTGACATCACAGGATGTGATTCTAGACTCTCACTGCCCCACTGAGAGTCTCTAGTCTGGGGGAGAACCAGGGGGCAAGACCACTTGGGAAGAACCAGATAAATGTTTAAGTTACAATCAGTTTGACCAAATGCATCAGAAAGTAAACAAACACATTTCTTTGTCTGTTTTTATTCTCTGAATTCTCAATGGGATCCAGAGATGAACAGAGTGGCCTTGGTGGCATCTGTAGGGACAAAGGGCAGGGCGTGGGCCCCAGGTGCTCCCAAAGGATGGAAGCTTCAGGGTACAGCCCTGGTCATGTCTAGGAGGTCCAGCTCCTGGCTGGGGAACTAAAAAACCAAACCCCCTGCCATTGAGTCGATTCAACTCATAGTGACCCTATAGGACAGAGTAGAACTTCCCCATAGAGTTTCCCAGGCTATAAATCTTTACAGAAGAAGACTGCCTTTCTCATCTTTCTCCCATGGAGTGGATGGTGGGTTCAAACTGCTGACCTTTGGTTAGCAGCCCAACTCTTAGCCACTATGCCACCAGAGCAGACCTGGAAAGCCCCACTCTGCCCATGCCCATGTTCTCAAATGAGCCAGCACCAGGCCACTTTCTCTCCCAGGGGATGGTGGAGGTTTCTGCTCCATGGAGGCCTGTCCTGAGAAGAGCTAAGTCACGGAGTGGGACAACCCAGACACCCAACAGCAGAGAATCCAAGGTCCTAAAGGCTCCGTCACTGAAACGCCACACCATCCTTTTAAATGAGAGAGGAGGGTCTCTCAATTACACAACAGATTCTTCCTCGTATTAAAAAGTTTTTGAGAAACAAAAATATCCCCATGACAGCCCCTACCCCCTTAGCTGTTTTTTGCCTTGTGGGGATGTTGTGGTTTTTCAAACAACTAAACCTTGAAGATTAACAGTTCAAGCATTTCTTGGCTGTGCAGGGTTTGGGGCCACACAGCATCGGGTATCTCACAGGTACAATACAGTGCTTGCAAGGGTGGCTGCCAAGTGCAGTGTGGAAGTAAAGTTGGAGGGTTAAGTGTTTCTAAAAACAAAGCAATAACATTGGTCCTTGTAAATCCCTGTCTCTCCCCACGTGGCTTGCTCCTGATTTGTCGTGGAGATGGGCTGAGGTCCCTGAAAATGGGGGTGGTGGGTGAGATGGGGAGAATGCTAGGTTTGTTTTGGGCACCTTCGCTGCTCTGTTTTGGGATGTGACTTCCCACCCATCCTGGGTCCCTAGGAGTTCCTTTGGTCAAGGCCCACATTTTCAAGTGGTTACCAGGCTATATGTATGTCAATCCACTTTGTAAAATTATAAGGCACTCAAAAACCAAAAGATCAAACTCACTGCCATCAAGTCGGATCCAACTCATAGTGACCCCTCCTTGGGTTTCCGAGGAGGTATCACTATGGAAGTAGATTACCAATCTTCCTTCCAAGGAGTGGCTGGTGGGTTTGAACTGCCAGTCTTCTGGTTAGCAGTCAAGTGCTTTAGGCACTATGCTATCAGAGCTCTTTATATTATTACTTAGCAAACTCAACTCACTGCCATTGAGTTAATTCTGACTCATGGTGACCCCTATTGGGTTTTTAAGGCTGTGAATCTTTATGGATGCAGACTGCCCCATCTTTCTTCTGTGGAGCAGTTGGTGGGTTCAAATCACTGAGCCTTTTGGTTAGCAGCCAAATGCCTTAACCACTATATCACCAGAGCTCCTAAGTTGCTCCACAGCTTAGAAACCCAATGGGGGTTACCATGAGTCAGAATTGACTCGATGGCAGTGTGTTTTGTTTTGGTTTTTGAGTTTATATTATCATTACTATTGGAGTCCCTGGGGAGTGTGCAAAAAGCTTACACACTCAGCTGTTGATCAAAATGTTGAAGGATTGAGCCCACCCAAAGTTGTCTGTAAAGAAAGACTTGGCAATTTACTTCTGAAGAACCTGCCACTGAAAACCCTATGGAGTACAGTTCTACCCTGGCATACATGGCACTATGAGTTGGAACAGAATGCATGGCAACTGTTTTATTTTGTTGTTGTTGTTGTTATGTGCTGTCAAGTCAGCCCTGACTCATAGCGACCCCTCCTTGGGTTTCCGAGGTAGTATCACTATGGGAAGTAGATTGCCCAACCTTCCTTCTGAGGAGTGGCTGGTGGGTTTGAACCACCAGCCTTCTGGTTAGCAGTCAAGTGCCTTAGGCACTATGCTACCAGAGCTCCTGTTTTATTTTAGTTATTATTAGCAGCAGCAGTAGTAGTTATTATTAGTTGCCCACTAACAACAAAATGTGGCCAAGGCTCACTTTTTCCCTGGGCCCTGGCCTAGGAAGGAGCCAGGGGCATCCCAAGGTTGCTGGGGCTTCTGGGGTGGTGGTCTCAGCAGACTTACCCAAGACTCCCCCAAAAATCACTCCTTGGCTCCCACACCTGCAGGTCAAGCCCTGCTGTCTCCTTCCTTCCAAATCAGGGACAGGGCTCCTGGGAATCCCTGGGAGGAGCACTGGGAGGGAAGTCCAGCCCTCCCCAGGACCACCACCAGGCCACCTGCTCTCCCTGCTGATGCTGCCACACTTGAGGGATGAGAACAGTGCCTGGTTGGAAAGGTTTAGAGAACCTGGAGGGCCCTGGAAGATATCTGGCCACATCCAAACTCTGTGCTTGCTCCTGCGTGGCTGCCCTTGTTCAGTTTTTTAGAAACACTCTTGGGGCACCTGTGACCATGCAGGGGACTTCCCGGTTCTTTTCAGCCAAGGCAGTATGTCCACATGCCAGCAAGAGGGGAGCCAGGAAACCCCGTCCGCCAGCCTCACTCTCACTCTTGCACTCACGCCGCTCTCTCCGATAACAGAGGACCTGAGGAGTCCATCACACGATACAATGAGCAGGGTGGGGGTACAGCTAGCCAGGAGCCTGGAGGGGCAAGGCTACTGGGGTGGGAGTCTGCACTTCATCCCTGACTGCTCTGGGGAGACAGAGGGTCCCGGGCAGTGGAGGCTGGACACAGCACCCCTTCACAGGAGCCTGAGCTCTCTGCACTTGTGCCCAGGGTGATGTCAGTGGCCCCAGAAACGGACAAGTGGGGGCAGTTGTCCTTTGCCTCAGTATTAAGTGTTGTTGAACAGAAGCATGAGGACCAAATTCTTCTAGCTGCTGCCAAGCACCACGGCCTCTCTGCTGCATTACAAATAAGACATGGAAGGGGTCAGGTGGCAGTGCCAGGTGCCCAGCGGGCCAGCATGTGCCCTTCCATCCGTGGAACACACTACATTCCCAGGGAGACCAGACCCCGTGCCAAAAGGATGCCTGCCCTTGGCCTAGGGTTCTGGGGCCTTTGAATTTAGGGGTGGGCTGAGGGCCCAAGCACAACCAGAGCTTGCCCTTGTGTTGTAGAGTTTGGCCAATTTGGTCATGGACATATGCATTCTTGAGGAAGAAAAATGATTCCATTTCGATGGAGCGGTGTGACTGTGTAGCAAGGGCTGAACACTGCAGGTGGCCCAGCCACACACATGAGCAGCCACACACTGTGCCCACCGAGGAGCCAGTATGCAGTGGATGGGGGAGGGGCTTACAAAACATGAATATAGAAAATACAAGATGTGTTGTGGCTCACGTATCTGGGGTGCCCTTCTATTCCCTCCTTGTGGAGACCTGGTCTGTCTCAGCGTTTCCCCTGCAAAGTTTCAGGCACTGACCACGACATCCCTAAATCAAGAGACCTGGCGGACAGGCCGGCCACCCGCAGGGTCAGCCACCCGAGAGGCCATTGGCAAGGCAAGCAGTCGCAGGGTGATGACATGCACAGAAAGGAAACAAGGAATGAAATGACCGTGTGGACCAGGTTGGGGAGACACGGGCGCCAACACGCTTTGCTTTTCCTTTCACTTGCAAGATGTCCTCATGGGGCAGTTTTATCTCCTTTATGCATTTTATGGAGAAGTTTGTCATCGGGGGGAAGAGAGTTGTGTAAATAAACACACTGTCTCATAAAATGCAGCTTGGACACGGGAGTCAATAGTCGGGCTATGGGCACTGTGTACCTTCTATGATGAATGTCCTGGACTTGGAGGAACTAAATGGGTCCCCTGGTGACAAAAGAAAGATTTAAAGAGACCAGAGTTTATAGCTGTGGGAGTATGGGATGACAAAGGGCACAGGGAGGGAGGCACAAAGCACATCTCACAGAATATTTGTTTTGTTACCAAAAAAAAAAAAAATCTATCTATATCTATATATATATACATGCATACACACCTATGTGTGTGCAGGTATATATAGAAGAAAACGAAGAATAAAATAACTTGAACACAAGTTAATTTTCCAAGTCCCTGGAGCAGCAAAGCACAAATGAGAAAACGCCGGCAGCAGGAAGTTGGGAGAGATGGGAAGGGCAGGAGTTGAAAGAATACGCAAACGCCAAGAGAAACCAGAACCACCTGCCAAGGTGCAGCACATGGTTTTCTCTTCTTAGTAATAATTTATCCCCCAGAGTGAAGGACCCCTCCCAGCAGAATGTGACTGAAATGACGCAACAGTGGAAAGAGGCATCCCATCCCCACCTCTCGTTATTTTCACCTACAAAAGGCTGAGAGGAGAGACTATTCCACGCAGTTCTGATCACAGGAGGGAGCATGGAACGACCCCAGGGGCGAGTTAGGTGTGAACCTGGATGAGGACAGGGATGTCCACTCAGCCTGGGGGGTGCCAGGGTGCACATGGGGGCCACTTGGAGGCATGCTCAGGCCCTTGCTTTCCCCCTCCCTCCCGCCCAGCTCAGCCTCTCTCCCCGGTGGCCTGGGCACCTGCTTTTGAGGCTGCTGCCCAGTGATTCAGGCGGCAGGGCCTCAGGCCCAGAATCTCCTGTCAGTGCAGCTCCATCCAATGGGGGACTGTGCCAGGCCCTGGAGCTTCCTGAGAGCACCTACCTTCCATGGGCGTGTTGGGGTCTGGGCGGTTAGCAAACACCACGTCCACATACTCCAGCTGCAGCCGCTCCAGGGAGGCTTTCAGACCTAGGGAGGGAGGGGGGGGGCATAAGGAATGTGCCTGGGCCTGCACCAGCACCGGCTACAGGGAGCCACGAGGAGCAAAAGAGACCCGGCACTTATAAGCTGTCCGGACATGAAATGGCACAACATGAGTGGATGTGCTGACAGAATTGTCGATTTTAGGGGATAGGAAGGGGGCATGGGCGGGGTGGGAAACCTTCCTAATTATGTGATTTTTTAAAATGGGTAACTACCTTGATGAAAATGAAAATCAATAGAAAAGGCACAAAGACCATTAAAATACAGAAGTGGCATGTCCTAGCCAGTATCTTTCTTGGGTCCTCCTGAGTGCAGAGCTCTGGGCTCTGTGCCAGAGAACCTCAGGAGGCGGGGGCTCTTGCTATCCCCATTTTACAGAGGCTGTGACAGAGACTTGGGGAAGCGACATCCCTTGTTCAAGGTCACCTAGCTAGCCTGGCTGAGGCTGGATTCACAGCAGGCCTGTCTGTGTCCAGCCTCATTGGAGACAATTGCCCTGGGGAGGGGGACACAGGCCTTGACCATCACACTCCCTCTCCTCCCATAATACTCCTTCCCCACCCATCCCACTCCCACCCTGCCCACCATGCCCCCACCTCTCCCATAATATTCTTGCCTCACCCACCAGCCTCCCACCCCCCATCACACTCCTGCCTGGCCCATCACACTTTTAAACCTATTGAAAAACCATTGCCATCAAGTAAAATTTTGGCTCATAGTGATCCTATAGGACAGAATAGAACTGCCCCAAAGGGTTTCTAAGGCTATAAAAATTTACGGAAGCAGACTGCCTTGTCTTTCTCCCACGGAGCAGCTGGTAGGTTTGTACCATCACCTTTCAATTGGTAGTCAAGCACTTAACCACTGTGCCAACAGGGTCCCCCATCATACTTCTACTCTCTCATAATACTCTGGCCCCCACTCAACCCACTCTCACACCTGCCCATCATACTATTGCCCCACCCATCACACTACTGCCCCTCCCCTCTCTCATTCCATGAAGGATCCACCTGGTCCCCATGGAAGGAAAGGCTGGGCAGGGCATAGGGTACACCCAGGCTTGAGGCCTTCCACTATGGACTGGAGTCCCTAGGTGGCACCTGATGACCAACCGAGAAAAGGCTGGTAGTTTGAACCCATCAGAGGCACCTCAAAAGACAGGCCTGGCAATCTACTTCTGTCCTGAAAACCCCATGGAGTAGTTCTCTGCACACATGTGGTTGCCATGAGTCAGAATCAATTTGACAGCAACTAACAACAATGCTGTGTAACTGGGGTCCACTCTGACACACCCAGGGCAGGTCTCCTCCTCACCTTCAATGATGTGCTTCCTGGACAGGCCTCGCTCTGTCTCTGCCCTGAAAAACAGGCTGTCTTGGGAAAATGCATATGATGCAATATCAGGTAAACAGAAAGGGGGTCAGAACTGGCACGTGCAGCTGATTCCACTTTAAGGCCACGGCAGAGGCTGTGTGGACATGCTCCTGAGTGCTGAGAGGGTGGGTACCTGATGGGAGGGTAGGCACCTGACGGAAGGGTGGACCCTGCTTCCAGGGCTGCCTTAGGGTGATATGGGGGCTTTTGCTTTCCAATTTGACTTCTGGTTGGCTTGAATTTTTTTTTTTTAAAGAATGAATTATATCTATAATTTATCAAGATTAGATGCCCTCTGAACCCAGGTTTGTCCAGGCCCAGAGTGAGGCCGGAGCCAGACCTGACAGCCTGCACGGGGATCTGGGGTGGTCTGAACAACTCCCTTGTTTTCCAGGATTTTTACAATGTTATCTTTGTAATCAGAAACATAAAACCCACATAAGTAAAAACAAACAAACACACAAAAAAAACTAAACAAGTTTAGAGTAAAAGACAATGCTCAAAGTAAAGCTGTTTTCCTGCATCTTGAGGCAGCATCTGCACCTTGTGCAGCAGCGAGACACAGCCCCACCCTTTATCAGGGTGGCCAATGCCAGCCCCTTCCCCTGCTGGAAGCACCAGGCAACTGTCTTTCTGGAGGCTCTTGGCCATCTCCCTTCCTCCCCTGCTGCTGTCAGGTGTCAGGAGTCTTGGCAGAACCGAGGTACGCCTCCCACCCCTTCCCACCACCTATCTCACCCTCCGCATCACCTACTTTCCACCCCAGAAGATTTTGGTTGTGATGACGAGGCTGGATCGTCTGCAAAACAGAAGAGAAACGGAGTGTTACTGGTCTAGGACTCTCTGGGGTCTGCACTCAGACCACTCTCACACAGGGCTCCCAGAACGCACTGTGACATGCCCAGGGGAGGGGAGAGGTTCATAGGGTTCCCTGTGGAGCCAGGAGACAAGAACGTGTAAATGCAGCTAATAACCAAGTAACTAGGCCTGGGCACTGATGGAACTGCGCTGGGACAGTGGGAGGGGCTGGAGGAATGTCAGGGGACAGGGAAGGAAAAGCCGGTATCTCCACAGGAGAGGGTGGGGCAGTGAGCAAATACTCTGAGGAGGTCAAGTTCGGTGGGCAGACAGAGGGGCTCAGGTAGGGATCTGGCAGACACTGAGCATGTAGGGGCCCAAGCAGGCAGGCTTTCCCTACAAACCCTGATGGCAGTTTAAGAAATCTTGGTATCGGATGGCCTGGCAGGGAGAGGGCTGGTGGGTGCAGGATGTGGTGGTGAGGGGGAGCTGGGTGACTCTGACTCTGATGGGGTTTTGAGTTTGGGGATGGATGCTGAGTATCCTGAGGGTCCAGCCTTGAGCTGAGGAAAGAGGATGAATTTCATTTCTTCCACTTTAATTCCTTGTTAGGCAAATGCTGACAATGGTGACTTTGTCCTGAGGTTGTGTGTGGGGGAAGATGATGGAACCAAGTTTTCACAGGGCCTCAGCATTAGCCACATCCGAGAGAGGACCCCTTCCCAACAGAAGATGCCACTTGGTGATAACGGCCTCCCTGTGGGAGGGGTGACCTTATGTTTGTCTCCCTGAGAAGTCACCTAAGGCATTTTCAGGGCGTTCATTCGCTAATATGGGGCAATATCCTTTAATTATAGAGCAGAGCTAAGAGGAATTCATATTGGGATCAATTATAGCTCAGAAGCAGCAGATAGGGTGGGGCAGGAGAGGGTATGCCATTGGGGCTGGGAGGCTGCCTGGTCAGTGGGGGTTAAGCCTCTAAATGGCACCGGAGAGGGCAGGGAGGTGGGAGGGGCCGGCTGCACAGCTGCTGCAGACATTCCTGAAAATAAAGGCTCAGAGATCATGGACTCATCTACTCTTGAGCTGATGCTGTGGCTGGGGGCTTGGAGGTCTAGGTTCAAATGAGCTGCGTCCATCCCAAGGGGCATCATCAGATCCCTGGGACACAAAGATGGATGGGGCTCCTGCCCTGCTGCCCTTGGGCTCACTGCCTCTCTGTGGGCCCGCCCTGGCCAGAGGCCGTGGTGAAGACAAGGCCAGCCCTGGCCTGTTAACCCTAAGACAGCCCTGCCAGGGAGGTCTGACTGTACCCTCTTCCCAGATGAAGACTGGAGGTCTTGGGAGGTGAAGACATTCATGTCCAAGGAAGGTCCACAGGCCTAAGCTGCTATTGGAGCACACCACCCCCACCCCGGCACACATGTGTCTCTGATCCTAAATCTTCCAGCTGAAGAGGGGGAAGGGGTTCCCCCAGGTCCTAGGCAAGAGTATAGCTCTGCCTCAAGGGCCATTCCAGAAGTTATTACTCTCCTCCCACGTGACCCTCATGCTCTGGACCCATGGGGATGAGTTGGGACAAAAGCAGAGGGCATACATAAGTTAGGGAGGGGTGGACTGCTGGTTTGGTCATATCACATGACTTCTCTCCAGAGGAAAGTGGCCTCCTCATCTTGGAGAACTGAAATTAAACCCCACGTGGTGACTCAGCACATAGGGAGGAAGAGAAGGGAGGCTTCCCCAACTCACCATGTCCCTGGCACTCTTGCCTTTTGTGGTAGCCACCTAGCAGCATGCATGACTTCCCCCCCTGGAGGAAGCGAGGGGCTGCCCCCATTCTAGAATATTCTCCCCTCCCCAGCAGGAAAAATTCTGAGATTTCCAAGCCTCTGCAAGATGGGTTGGCTGCAAAAGGGGCTGATGGGTTAGTAAACAGTTAAGAGTAACCCCATAAACTTCCATTCTTCCCATGACAAAGTAACTAGAGTCAGGACTTTCAAGGGGGCCCCAGGCCCTGGGAGGCCAGCTCACCCCTCTGTGGACCCCAGGGCACTTCTGCCTCTCCCTGTGCCACCCGGCCCCTGACCCTCCCCCTTCCGACCACAGACACTAAGCAGCAATTACCTCCAGCCCTTCTTCTTAATAATGTTTCCTAAAACCACTTCAGCCCTGCAGAGCAACAGAGACACAGGGATTTCATTAACATTACAGAAAATCAAACCCAGCCCCACTCAGTCCCCCTCTGTGAAAAAGCCCTGGGCAGAGAGCATCTGTGAAGGACCTGCTTTGACTCTGGCAGCAACTTCGAGAGAGAGAGAGAGAGAGAGAGAGAGAGAGAGAGAGAGAGAGAAGAGGCAGCGGGCTGGCTGGAGCCTGATTCTGGAGCTGGAATGCCCTTAT